CACGTCTTTTATCCACTGTTCAAATATATGACTTTCACATATTCACAGTCGTTAAACTCCAACGTCACTACAAAAGAAACGTGATTTGTTTCAAGATATCACAGAGAAAATCTTGCTATCGAATGAAAAAACGAGTAGCTTACAATGGCTGATAAAACTTAAAGTTGTTCAAGAAATGAGACCTGAATTTTCAATAAACATAAATTACAGATTATCAGTTATAGACTAGCTGACCTTGATATTCGCGTTCTCCGATCGATCGACGCGGAAGTGAAGATCGTTGATGTTGCTGTAACTGATCCAAATTTTTAACCGAAAACGAGTCAAGTTTACACTTACATCATTTTCGGTGCACTGGTTTATCTTTAAAATTCCAAGTAAGTCTTATTACAATTAAAAGTCAGAACAAGCACGACAATTAGAGCTATTCCGCGTATGGTTTCTCGAATGTGCTTCGCAAAGCATATTTCCATCATTCCCATCACTCACTGGGACCTTTATTCGAAGCATCTGGGGAGAAGTGATGTTTGCGTGACTGGCAAAATAATTCGCAAGTCACGCGATCTATTTGTCGGGGCGAGGGAGGAGGGGAATGATTTCCTGTTAGTTACCGCTTTTGGTGAGTAAGCTTGATTACCGACTAAGTCTTTCATACGTTATGATAAAATGTGAGCGGAAAATGCGCCTAACATTGTGTTTTGTGACCGTCACAACTGCACAATTCTCACACACCAACGATCTTAGGTCTAGGAAACAAGAAGAGATCAGAAGAGGTTGCAGAGTCTATTGTCGACGTGGCTCAACAGATCGAAAGCAGCTACGATGCCACAATTAGAACTTGTTTAATTAGGAAGAAATCACACGGTCCAAGAAACCAAGTCTTCTTTAATATCTGCCACCTAGTAGCCTCACTTAAGTTAACACTAAAACGAGGCTACTATCAAACCATGCCTATTGTTAAAAAACTTGCTTGCCGAGGAGGAAAACTCAATCAAGCATTCATCATAGCGAACAAGTACTTGATAAAGTTTTTTCACCAGAACAAGTGGAAATTAATTCGGCATCAAAACATCACGTACAATGGTCTTAACAAAGGAGAACTTCACCTTAATTTCGAAGGTAACGAACGCCTTTAGATTGAAATGATGTTCTACTTTGGGGGTGCAGACTCCACCCAAAATACTCAATAAATTTTATTTTTCAGAAAAACCTTCAAATGGATTTCCTATAAAATCTCTGCTTGGAGATTCCAAGTCCCCAGTAAATCAAAACCGATTTTATAGTTCTCATGTGACTCATCTCAGAACCGACGAACTAAACAAACTATGAGTATTGCTGATGTTTATCATGTGACTCCAGTGACTCATCTCAGAACCGACGAACTAAACAAACTACCCGAACTCGGCTGCCACAGAACATATAGTTCTGTGACGCATCCTTGAGTGCTTTACACTCGCGAGTTCTGGAGAAAAGTTAAGTCCTGTCTGCCTACCAATTCTGGTAAAAACATATATGATGTCATCCTCGTTCAATCCAGTGGTATTGTTTCCGACAAAATGTAAGTTTGGGATTCCCAGTTCTTACCGAAGAGGTGACTAAATACTGCATAAAGAATCAATTATTGCCTTCTGAATGGAAGCAAGTGCGCCTCACTGAACAGTCTTAAAACGAGGGACTGGCACAGATAAAGCAAACTATCGTCCTCTCTCAATCTTAACTACACTGTCGAAGGTGTTTGAGAAAATTATTTATGATCAACTTTGGTCGGAACATATTTCACAACGTTTTGTCCTCTAACCTATCTGGTTTTATTAAAACCCATTCTTGCTACACTGCATTGCTACAAATGACTGAAGATTGGAAGAACAGCATTGACAACAGGGAAGCTGTAGCGGCGGTCGCTGTAGACCTGAGCATAGCGTTAGACGCAGTTAACCACCGCCTTTTGCTCGCGAAACGGAAGGCCTATGGCTTCTCTCCATATACCTTGGAAATGATATCCTCTTACCTGCTGGGCTGTCAACAATGTGTCAGTGTAGCGGGTTTATGCTCTAACTTCAAATCAATTAAAACTGGTGTCCCTCAAGGTTCATTTTTAGGGCCCCTGCTCTCCAATATCTTCATTAATGACTTGAATTGTGTACCTAGTGTCTCATTGCGGCTGTACGCCGATAGCACGACTGCCTACCTCTCAGATGTATCTCCTACCATCCTGAAATTTTAAATTTACAAAGATCTTCAAACTCTTCCGTTGTGGTTTGATTTCTAACCACTTAACAGTGAACAGTATTAAGACTCAAGCATCATCCGTCGGACCCTGTGACTATGTTTATTCTTTATTTCTTAATGATGTTAACTGAAATAGAACTTTTCAAATCTATTAAGATCCTTGGAGTTACCCTAGATTGGCACCTATCCAATAAAAAACACATATCAGATCAACTAAAGAAGGGGCTAACCAAAGGCCTCTGCGCTGAGAAGAATGAGGCTTTTTCTGCCT